ATCATCATCATCATCATCATCATCATCATCATCATCATCATCATCATCATCATCATCATCATCATTTGCATCATCTGGAGACATACAACCAACGCTTGTGCACGGTGTGTCGTTCCGCGCCTTTCCGCGCTTTTCCTCGTCATGGCGACACCTGGGGATCACAGCCCGGGCGTCATGGCGCAGATGACAGGCCTCAATGGAGCCTCAGCTGCGATCGCAGACCTTGCTTCTTCGGGAAAGGGGGATGATTTCGAAGGTGAAGATGGGGAATTGTTTGGCCTGTAAGGAATGTTTTGTAAGGCGTGTCCCGATTTTTTTAAAAGGCAAGATCACCCTTGCGAGAGTCCGTAGAAATGTCGCCTCAGCGCGTGATGATGGAACGCGTAAATCACCTTGCGACGCGCCCCTTTTACCTTTCTTATCCTTTCTTCTTGTGTCTCCCAAGCGCTTTGAAACCAGGAGATGTTAAAAGTGTTTGTCCGTCACTATACCTTTCTTCTTGTGGCCTTCTGGGATACCGATCGTGCGCAGCTTGGCGCCCTCAGGATCCTTGGACGGCGAGCTAGGCTCACTCGTCCGATGGACTGAAACAGGGCGTTGGTTGGTGAAGATCTACGGTGGCCGCACGGTGGCCGTGAAGACTGACGCTTGGCCATCGCGGAAAGCGGTTTGGGTGGGCTATGTGGTTGCTGCGTTGGGTGGGTGATGTAGAAGATAAGGGACGATCCCCGAATCGGATACGGCGCCATGGTTTGGATTCTAGATTATGTTGGAAGAATTCTGAAGATAGTCCTGCACATTGGGCACACACCAAACCATTGGGGAACCAGGCGTTCACCATGCTGGCGTTTTTTCTGGTTGGCCAGGTTTGCAGTTTTGACCGTGCAATTCCCTAGCCACTGCCCGCTTCAAACATAGACATTTTTCTTGTTCCAGAAAGTGCAATTGCCCTGAGCCACCACTCTCCAATCGATCCAAATCCTTCCAGGAGAACCTCCGCTGCGCCGCCGACCGCGTGCCAGAGCGCGTGCGTCGGTGCATCAGCTGCGGGTTGGTGCTGACGGCGCAGGTCTTCCTGGAACTCGCACGAAGCGGGGGAACACGTCAGGTCACTGCGGCTCTCGCCACCTGGCAGACCAAGTGAGGGACTTGAGGAATTTGAGGAGATCTTGTGGGGTTTGGGATTGGGAAGTCGGGGAAGTTTCAAGTAAAAGAACGGGGTGCGAATGTATTGCAATGAAGAATTTTGCACCTTGCGGGCGTTGTGTTCCAACCTCCAGTCCGCATTAAGACCATAGAGAACGTGATAAAGCAAAAACGCGACAAGATGCCATTTGAAGATGACCGTAATTGTACTTATCTGTCCCATCGTTCCAGACAAGTTATCCTCCTTCCAATCATGGAGGCGGGAGTGGTGGGGCGCATTCGGCGGGAGGGTCGTCAATTCAAAGGCGGAGACCGACCGGTTGACCAACCTGGTGGACCGGTCGTTCGCGGCAGTGGTGGACTGGTCGGCCCACGACTGGTCGGCCTCACTCCCTTAAATGGAGCGTAAGGCCAAAACGGAAAGACGGAGGTGTGTTCTAGAGCCGGACGGGGGCGGGGCTCGGGTGACCGGCTTGGACTCTTCAATGAACGGAGCTCCTGGGGGAAGGAACGAAGATTCTTGGAGATGTTCGTGGTTTTCGTGGAAGTGCTACGACGACTGCAGAAGCTGTCGAGGTACCTTTGTTGCTTTTAGCCTGGGCTGTGGCGACCTTGTGGGGATCCAAGTGGCCTCTTGGATCGGTGATGGAGAAGCAGACACGCGTAGAGGCCGATGGGTTTGCTACTACAAAGCCACCCATGGGGGGTGGGATACGTCGGTTTGGGTGGGTGGGTGGGTTCCTTGCAAGCAAGGAGAGGGTGGTTTGATGCGCGGCTTGGTGTGAAACACAGAGCTTGGTGTGAAGAGTAGGTTGGTAATTCAAGGGTATTTTAGATACCTATGGTCAGTCCTTAATAGTCCTTAGGTGTTCAACTGTAGGTACAAGATTTGCACCACACTCCTTCAGGCTACACTGGTTGCAGAACAGCACCGTAAATCATTGTGGACAACTGCACTTGTACTTGCAAAAGGTTGCCGAACACATCCGAAAACATTCCAGCTTTGTCAGAACAAGTTTCAATATGTTCAATTAGGGTAGGCTTTGCCCACGTTTGTGCAATGCATTTCCCTCACACATGTGGGCAAAGTATGGCTGGCAAAGTTAGATAGCTTCATTGCATTTTCAAGATGAGCCACCCTCGCTGTTCAGAGCATGACAGGACACAATATGCGCATAATATATACGTACACTTGTATACGCAAGGGTTGAATTCACCCAGACTAAAACTTATATACATCGTTTGCATTCCCCTGCTTCAGAAAGCCTTTGTCAAAATGATGCTGAATATTGAAACAACATGCAGTGGAAGTGATGTCCCAACGACAGTCCCAACGACTTTATTGCCATGTCAGTCGGTCTTACTTCCGGACCCTTAATTTTGGGCCCTGAGTGTTGTGAAGTAGTGCGGCTCCAACTATCCAAATGGAATGCCGACAGTTTGGACTCGACTCTTGCTTTCATGACTCCACTTTTGTAATCGTGCTTGTTGCTGAGAAAAGCTCACGGTGTGCCTTGAAACATGGAAAGTACGAATCATGGAGCCCATCGAGAAAGATTAGATGCACTCCCCCCTGACAACCTAATTCCTGCCTTTAGCAACTCGATGTCAAACCAATGACCAATGATGACCATCCCTGTGGCCCTGTGGCCCCACCTGAGGCTTTATCATCCACTCATCTCTTACGGCCCGGTGCCCGGCTTTTGGGACTTCACTCGGAGCCCACCTGCGCAGGGCTTCTTTCGCTTGGGCTGCGCCGTCATGGCCATGCTGCTGGTGGCACTGGTGCGGATCCAAAGGAATTTGATCCTCAGACCAGCCCCTTCGACCGAACCCTCGGGGAAGCGGTGGGGAGTGGTGGGGAGATGGGCCGGTGGGAAGCGGTGAGGGAATAGATTGGACTGTCGTATGATTCGTGAGGGAATGGATTGGAGTGGCTGGAATGGTACTGTAAGAGTTTTTTTCTCGCCGTGTGAGTGTTCAGAACCAGGGAAGAAGGACGCCACCTCTTCGTTGCCTTTATTTGCCTGTATATACTGCATGTTTAGTCAATCTTTTCACTGGGTGTCCTGTAGATGTTGTTCTTAGAGACATGAAGCGGACGTGCACGGCAAGAGTCTATTCTAACCAGAATTCCCACTTGCCCTGAGTGTGGATGCGGGCCATCAACAAAAGGTGCAGATGGTTAAGTACGCCATGTCGATCCATGTCCAGTGGGGAACGGAGCCTTTTGGGTGGTTCATAATTTCTGAGCGTTCTTTGTGTTACATGTGTGATCCTACATGCCCCAGTTTGTAGGATTTACTCAAGCACGGGCCTTTGAATGCCACACCTGCCCTGCTTTCTCCCGAACGTGCTCGCACGTGCTCCTTTGGTCCGGGCGGACGTCTCGATCCGGTTCACGTCGGTCTGCCGTGGTCTGAGGTCTTTGAAGAAACTCTGCAGTACGAGCTGGCCATGCAAAGTTCAGCTGCAGGCTACATGGCCGCGACCGGCCTCGTGATGCAAAGTCTGTTCGTGTACCGCCACTTGACCTGGAATTGGCGATGGGGGCTTAGCCAAATCTCCCGAGTCTCAGATGGTGGCAGCTGGTTGGACATGCTCAACCGAGAACACGCGATCCTGAAGTTCATGTGAGGATGCCCCATGCTGGTCATCACTGTGTCGGTAGGGAACTCACTGTTCAGAACCTCCATACCCCCGAGAAGAAACCGACAACCATCGAACACCTCCTCCGCGCTTCGGCGTTTTGCACTGGACTGCGCTTCAGTGACATCGGTGTCGCCCATCGACTCAGGTTCCGGTGTCTTGGCACCCCTGCGCACCTGGGGTGTAGGGCTCTTCTTCTTCGGTCACCTGAACGCATAGACGATGCGCGAGACGAGTTCGGTCACCGTGCATTCCTCGCGAAGTTCCGAGTTGAAAGTTGACATCCAGAAAATCACCACAATCCTCAGAGTTCGAGCATCTTTGACTGGCTTGAGGTTCGATGCAGGTCCTGGATCGGGCACGGCTCAGTCGTTGAGCCGCGGTCGTTCCCAAACGTCCTTCCCGCAGAGAGCCGTCATAGCCCTACCGCTATGCCAAAACAAAAGCTCGTTTGATCTGACCATGTTGATTTGATTTGATTTAAGAGGTGCCGAGGTGTTCTCAAAACATCTTAATAACATATAATAACATAAGGTTTTGTTGGTACGATGTTGTACGTTATGGTTTTACAACAAATAATTACTTGTACTGTATTCAGAGATATATGATATATGTATATATACCATATAATATACTATATATGTGATGTGTCATTGTGTATGTGTATGTGTATATATATATATATATATTTATTTACATAACTGTATATAACTTTGTATGCCAACCAAAGACTATAAATAGAATAGAACATTGAGTCATGCCATGACCTTGAAACGGACCGATCAGGTTCCGCATGGCACTTCAAGGTCT